GGTCTGTGACACGTGTAGTGGCAAACACATGTCGTTGCAGGCTGGCAAATGTGGCCGGGTTCAGACACGCCTTCCGACTTTGCTTGGCTGCGAGGTGGTTCCGGCAGTGTCCGTGGTTCCGGCAGTGTCCGTAGGACAGTCCTGTGAGCGCAGGGTTTTCTTCAACATATGACTTTACACTGCTCCCTCTTCTTTACTGGGTGTCTTTTAAGGGCTAGGAACTCTTATAAAGTTATCTAATGAATACATGTAACATTTCTTCAAGGCAGGCAGTGATGCCCCATTGAATAGTTGAGGAAACAAAGGTTGCGGAAGGGACAAGGCCTGGAGTCCCCTTTGGGTCCCTCTGATTTCTCTCTTCCACACGCTGAAGGAAGGCATGGGTTGAGACATAAATTCTGCTAATTAGACACTCATTGAAAAAGATCCATCCACAATTACCTAACACTTCCTATGGAAATAATCGAGGCTGTGTGCAATGCGTGTGGAAAAATAATCACCGCCATTATTCATGACAGTCAAAAAGGGAGAGCCACCGAATCACACCACAGTACAGGCTCATCCTCAATGGTGAATTCTATGTGGCCATTGAAAACGCTGTTTCAGAAGACATGGGCAAACAGCTCTAAGTTAAAAAGCAGACTACAAAGAGTTTATCATAATAGCTGGATCAGTTCTCTATTTCTGCCGGAACAAATTACTGCAAAGTGACGCAACATAAATGTCTTATCTTGCAGATCTGTAGGTCAGAAGTCTGCTGTGGCTCTCACCAGACTAAAATCAAGGTGTTGACAGGGCTGCCATCCCCCAGAGGCTCTAGCGGGGCTCTGATTCCTGCTCATTTGGATCTTGAACAGAATCCAGCTTCTTGCGATTGTGGGGCTGAGGTCCCTGTTTCCCTGCTGGCTGCACCTTTCGAGGCTGTGGCTTCCTTAGCTCCGGTCCCTTTCCTCCATCTTCAAAGCCAGCAGCGATGGGTCGAGTCTCCCTCACACTGTGACTCTCTTCTTCTTCCATTTACTTTTTCCGACCCACTCTTCTGCTTTTAAGGACTCATGTGATTACATTGGGCCCACCCTGATAATCCAGGATAACCTACCTGTGTTAGTCTGTTCTCATGCTGCTGATAAAGACATACGCAAGAGTGGGTAATTTATAAAGGAAAGAGGTTTGGACTCACAGTTCCACATGGCTCGGGAGGCCTTGCAATCATGGCGGAAGGCAGATGAGGAGCAAAGTCACATCTTTTGTGGTGGCAGGCAAAGAGTCTGTGCAGGGGAACCCCCCTTTATAAAACCATCAGTTCTCGTGAGACTTATTCACAGCATGGGGAAGACCTGCCCCCACGATTCAATTACCTCCCACCAGATCTGTCCCACCACACATGGGAATTAGAGGAGCTACAATTCAAGATGAGATTTGGGTGGGGATACAGCCGAGTCAAATCGTTACCTATCTCAAGGACCTTGAATTTAATCACATTTACAAAGTCCCCTTTGCCATGTAAGGTAACCTGTTTACAGGTTCTAAGGATTAGGATGGTAGACATCTTTTGAGGGAGATTGTTCTGACTACCACACAAGCCAATATTTATTGAGCACTTACTATGTACCAGGCACTGTTCTGAGCACTTTACACAGAGTAACACATTTAGTCTTCACTCCCACCCTGTAATAAGACACTATTACAATCCTCATTTTATAAGCCAGGAAACAGACACACAGAGAAGTTAGGTAACCGGCTTATATGGTTCGAATCTGTGTTCCTGTCATGGTGGCGGATGTCTCAGGGTTTAGCACCAACCCCTTGGTGCTTTGCTTGAGACAGTGAGTGAGTTCTCTTGAGATCTGATTGTTTAAAGCACCTACCCCACCTTCCTTCTGTTCCTGCCCTGTGGGACTCCTTGCTCCCGCTTTGCCTTCGCCATGATTGAAAGCTTCCTGAGGCCTCCCCAGAAGCAGAAGCTGCTATGCTTCCTGCACAGCTTGCAGTACCTCAAGCCAATTAAACCACTTTTCTGATAAATTACCGAGTCTCAGGTGTTTCTTTATAGCAATGTGAGAATGGACTAATACACTTGTCCAAGGTCACAAAGCTCTGAGGCAACTGAGTTGGGAAACAGATGCTCTTAACAACTATATGTATAAATAAAACATATTGTATCGATCTCTTTATTCAATATCTATGCTTAGGAAGAAGTTGGAAGTGTATTTGTCAACATGTTAAGTGGGGCTATCTCTGAGAGTGGAATTCCACGGGTAGCACGAAGTGCGATTTTTGTGTGTGTATGCCCCTGTGTGCTCTTCTTGCTTTCCAAGTTTTCAGCAAGAGTATTTCAATAAAGTGAATTAGAATAAAAGGTGATTAAAATCATTAAATGAAAAGAGCAAGGAAAGTTACCCCTCTGTCCTCCAGGGTGATGAGAACCCCGGTCTCTTTTCAGCCACTGGAGTCTTAACGTCAAGTCACCAGCAGACGGCGCTGCCCTCAAGCTTATTGGGTGAGCTTTGCCCTGCAGCTTAACCAGACCGGACTCAGCTTGCCTTGTGCAAGATTTGTGGCCCTGGATTACGGGCCTTCGCCTGTCCTCTGGCTACCAAACTGCCGAGGGCCTAGGAAAGACCCAGCACCATCGGCTGCATCCCCAAATCCACCCAGCACTGCCCCAAAAGAACCCTACACAGCGCTGCAAAATGCTACCGATTTTGGCTGGGAACAGTTTGATGGGGGAGGGAAAATTATTCAGGACTAAAGAGACCATATGAAAATGACAGAAACGGAGTGGAAGAGTCAGGGAAGGTGTTCATAAATAATTTTTGTGTGTGCCAGTTGTCCTCATTTTGGGACAGTTCCCAGTTTTGTCCCTTGGTCCTTGGCTTCGAAGTGGACCCGTGAAGTGAGCCCATTTATTGAAAGATTGAAGAGCTGGGTGCAGCCCATGCTATCCACCCACATCCTTGCCCACACCCCAGCCCCAGGACAAAGATGTCGAGAAACCCCCAGGACCTCTGTCCATGGTTTCAGTATCTGGAGCCTCTCCCTGCCTGAAAGACTGGGCTGCAAGGGTGTTTAGTGTCAGGTTTGGCTTTAAGTCTAACACAGATCACTATAGCTATTGCTTTGTAGAGAAAATCATCTCATTTTTCTTTATGGACGGTATTTGGTCTCTGGATTTGATGTCCAGATTTATGCAAACAAAAGACATGCTTCCTTCATGGAGAAAATAGAAAAAAGTTCTATCTGAGGAACAAAGAGAGAAATAGCAAGAAAAACCCTTGACACATTTCTCTGTCAGTTGGAAGTCACGAAATCAGCATTTCTCACTGACACTGATATTTTTTCCCTAATCTCCAAGTGAGACTCCCCCTCCCCAGTAGTGCCACTCTGTCCCTAATCTGCCACCTTAGTATCTGGTGATGGAAAAAGGAATTACAGCAGGTCACCCTTTCAAGAGGCTATTCTCTGGACATATTTAAATTGCCTTATTTCCACTGCTCTGATTACCCCCCTAAAATTGGCCCAAATTGGCCTTAAAACATTTCAGGCCAGGCCTGGTATCTCATGCCTGTAATCCCAGTACTTTGGGAGGCTGAGACGGGCGGATCACGAGGTCAGGAAATCAAGACCATCCTGGCTAACATGGTGAAACCCCATCTCTACTAAAAATACAAAACAACTAGCCGGGCACAGTGGCCGGGCACCTGTAGTCCCAGCTACTTGGGAGACTGAGGCAGGAGAATGGCATGAACCTGGGAGGCGGAGCTTGCAGTGAGCCAAGATCATGCCACTGCACTCCAGCCTGGGCAACAGAGTGAGACTCCATCTCAAAAACAAAAAACAAAACAACAACAACAACAACAAACAAGGACATTTCACTGGCACTCAAGAGCCTGAGGTTGTAGAATAAGAAAATGCCTTTTCATCATTAAGGAGAATCTCCACTGCTCTGTCAAGGAGCTCCGGTTCTGCACCCTAAGATATATCGGGGTATAGATGCTACAGCTTAAAGCATTTATCTGATCCAATTCCTTTGCTTTATAGATGAGAAAAATGAGAGCCAAAGAGATCAGACGACTTCCCCAAGAAGTCACACAGATCTCATTCCTCCCCCACTTCTGTCCTCAGGGATGGAGTTCCAACGAAAGGAACAGGATTCTAAAATATTCTACTGGTGTTCTGGGAGTGGGGAGCTGGAGCACTAAGGAGAGAGGCCAAGTTGGGGCTTCTATGGGGTGGAGGGCACCAGGCTTGGGAAGGGCTCTGCAGGGCGTGTGGGTACTTACTCCTCCTCCGTGTTGTTGCTGGTGTTAGTGTTGCGTTTGGCCAGGGGCCAGGCACTGCGGGGAAGTAGAGAGAATATCAAAGGTCTGAACTTGGTTTCCAGTCCTTGGGGCCATTTCCCCAGGGGATTACCATGCCCCCCCCCAACCCCCACCCCATCCCACTGCTTCCAGCCTTTGCACTCACAGCTTGAAGAATACGGGGTGGTATTGTCAAGGCCAAAATGCTTTGTGATTGGTTAGCTCAGATAAAAGACTTGGGGGAAGGGAGGGTGAACATGGCTAAACTGAGGCTTCTGAAGAAATGAAGATTCAGCCATTTGCCTCCTTCCAGCTTCCCTGCCTCAAATTCCACTCAGTTTCCTTCCTTTCTACCCTGGATGGGGCCACGTGCCGGGCACTGAGAGGGGCACAGAAATGGACCCCACGTGGCCTCTGCCCTCAGCGCTTCCCTGCCTCTTGGGTGGAGGAGGTCTTTCACCCTCTGCCCCGGGATGGACGCAGCCTGCAGCAGCAGCCACAGCGACTTGCTCCCTCAGCTGCAAAGGCCTCTTCCAATGAGCAGGACGAGTAACTGAGCATAGGCAGGATCGTCGCTGTTTTCAGCTTATCCTCCTCCTGTCCTCTCCTACCTCCCCAAATCTTACAACTCCAGGGCCTAACACCCCTGGTCTATGTGAGAATCTGGTTGAAGGTAAGGGCTGGTTTTGCACAAACTGGATATTTATTTGAAGTTGAATTTTGCAGTACTTCACGATGTTCTATAGCAAAAGGTATTATCTCTGACCGCCAGAACCCATTTTCAACATGGCTGGGTTAAAAACGCCAGGCGGTCTCACAGGGCACTGCAGACCCCTCATAGGAGACCACAAGAACTGGAGCTTGAGGCAGGTGACACCCCCGCTGATGCCCGGGACGCCTCTTCCGTGATGCTGGATGTCCAGCCAAAGAAATGCCATTTTGATGACCTTAGCTCCTCCTGCCCAAATCTCCCTCTCCCCGTCTAAGATATGGCCGTAACCGCTTGTTTCTGGATTGGTTCTGCTCATCTGAAAATCTCCCAGGAACTGGAACGGCCGTGGGATTGTGAAGGAGGGAAGGTTCAGCTCTGTGGGGGTGCAGTGGCTGTGTTCACCACGCCTCTGTGCCCGTAACCCCACAAAGCCAAGCCCACACAGGAGAACTAGGACCTGTCTCTGTATATACTTGGCTTTGCTGTAGAGACTTTGCCTCCAGAAAAATTCAAAATCCTCACCCCTAGGAAGCCTTGCTGGTTGACGGACACTATCCACTCCATCGCGTCCGTCTGCCTATGCTGACCCTGCCCGCAAGTGATCCAACAAGTGTCTGTGAGGTGGGCAGGGCTGCCCTGGATGTGGTCCTAGCTCAACGCTCCATTCGTCTGGTCCCATCCGGAAACGGACAGAGTCTAACGTTCATCTCTAAGGATGTAGGAAGGTAATTTGGTCAATTTAAGTAAGGAAGTCTTTGCTTGTCCAAAAGGAATTAGACCAGCCTGGCTGGCTTGCTGAGAAACCTGTGTCCCCCCTCCCTCTTCCTCTTTCTCCACTTTGTCCTCTTTCTTATCTGTCTGTCTCCTTGTCTTTCTGTCTATGGTGTCCCCCAAGGGTACTGGATGCCCAGTCCTGGGAACCTGGAACCTCCCTGCCCTTGTCTGGGCCAGTGCCCAGCCCTTCCCCAGCCTCCTTTCCACAGCCCAGGAAACCCAAGGGTTTGCAGTCCAGGCTCGTGTGAAAACTGCCCTTCCCGTCTCAGCCAGGGATTCTCACACCTTTCCCTGGGTCTCCTAAAGCAGTCACTGGTGAGACGTGGCCTTGAACTCTCACACTCCATCTTAAAAATGCCCTTGCTCTTTGCCGTCCCCTGCATCATCTATGACATACAAATACCCACTGCCACTCCCCACACAAATGTGGAATGAAAATGGATGTTCCGGAAAGATCCATTGGGTTTCCCCCTGAGACTTCATCACCTTCACACCCCAGAGACCCTCATATGCCCATTTGAGAAGCTCCAAACCTGAACCCATCTTCTCCTCACTGACATACAAACAGGTAGCTTTTTCTCTAGCAAATTATATAGGGACTATTCTGCATCATCATGCTTATTTGATCCCCTTTTCCCACCCCCTAGAAAATAGGTTCTGGGTGAGAATCCACCTGTTTGAGAGGCTGAGGGGAAGTCAACTTCCCCTCCACGTCTTACCTCTCCTCCCTTCCAGACAGACCAGTGTCCTAAAGAAACGCTCTACTGTTCAGTGACAATTGATTCAACCTGTGCTGACCCAGGGGTCTCTCTGCAGACCACCTGCTGGGGAGACTTCTCACGAACAAGTCAGGAGGGGAGACAGCAGCCCTGTGTCTGTGTGTAAGGGGGTGCCAGTCAGGTTTATCTCCCAGTTAGGGTGGGGGCGATGCACGACGGTGCGCAGAGGCCCCAGTTATGCAGATTTTCCCTCCAGAAAGCAAACCCTCCCCACCTCACTCTGCTCCCACCATTGTCCCTTCCCCACCTGGTATTTCTCAACCTGATCTGGGACACAGATGGCTCCCCTTGAACATTCTGACCAACCTGTAGACTCTCGTCCCAGAAAAATGCACGCGTGCCTACACATAACATTGTGGATACCATTTAGACACCCCCCGAAGCTCCTGCTATAAAAGACCCCGCTTTTGAGCAAGATGGGTCAGAGTGAGTCTAGGATGCGAGTCCTTTGGTGAAGAGAGATGGGTAAGGCCAGCATCCCCCGATGAGTTTCTGAGAACACGATTTCCAGGGGACCCTAACGGGGGTTCTGTGTAGGATGAGGTGAGTGGTCAAATGAGGCTGGGGGCTCTGGTTCAAGGGTTTTCTCCTCCTGCAAGGCCTCCTGGACTCCGCAGAGGCTATTAGACCATGTAATGCTCCCCTAAGAGCAAACACTTTCTTCAAGGAACAGCTCACGGGGACGACGTTCCAGGCCCCCTGTGCTGCATCCAAACAGGATGGAGCAAAGCAGAGGCTTCCTGCCTGGCCCCAGCAGGCGCAGGAGGCCCCTTCTTCTTTTCCGCTCCTTACCTTCTCCCTCTGTCTGCTGGCTCCTGGCTGCCCACGTTTGCCTGGGTATTGCTTTCTTGGCTGGACACCTCCTTAAGCTCAGCTCCACGGGAACGATCAGGAAAAGGGTGCGGTCCCTGGTCCTGGTGGTGCACGTGCCTGACAGCCCACCTGCGCAGCCGGAAGATGAGGCGCGAGAGCCTGGAAGGCGACACAGGCACTGAGCCAGACGGAGAGGAAAAGCCCCCCACGCCTCCAACCCCCAGTCTTTCCCTCTCTCTTTTTCTCCCTCTCTCTCTCTCTGTCTCGAGGGGTGGGGCAGAAGCAGTGATGGCCGGCAGGGCGTGGGTGCTGGGGGCCCTGTGGTCTTCGTTTGCATCTCCGTCCCATGGGGACCGTGTATCCCCTTCTCCCTCCACCCTGCAGTCAGGGGCAGGCTTCCCCGGAAAGGGACACTTTATTACCATTTGTCCTTGTAGCACTGGGACTCTGCCTAAGGCATGATCCTTCAAACGGGCAATTAGCTCACTCCTTTTGCCCAGTGGAGAGCTCTTTGTAACGACTGCCAAGCACGGGAAGAGTAAAGCAATGCGGGTTTCAAACGAGGACAACATCGAGAGCAAGGTTATTTATTTATTTATTTATTTAGAAGTCCTGAGATCTGATAGAGCAAGGCTTAAAGGAACAGGCATCCAAGCACAGCCTGGAGTCTTTTCCAAGCTTTTATCTTATTGGTGTGTTCTTGTACAAACTAGAGTTTTCTCCCCAGGCCTGGGAGGTTCCTCTGCAACTTGCCCTGGGCCCCTCCCGGAGCCGGCCCTGCCTGGAGCTTGCAGTAACAACACCTGCGACCGTAGTACCAGCCCCCAGAGCTCATCTGAGTCGCACGGGCCTGAGAGGTGCCTTCCCTCCACCCTGTCTGCTGCTGCCGGTGTCTCTGCCAGAGGGGAACAGCGGGTGACAGGCCCGGAGACTCCATTCTGTTTCTCGGCTTCTGGTTTCCCTGATTTGCCAAATCCCTGATTTGGCATCTGCAGTGCCCTCCCTTGGACGGGGTGTCCCCAGCCAGAGTCGGTACTGAACAACCTGGAACTAAGCCACGAATTGTCACATACCTTGACCCTAATCACACACTTATGACCTTAGCCTAAGGGAATACACTAAGAAAATATCCCTATAGGCAGATGTTTACAGCTGCTGCCGCAGACGTAGTTGGAGGTATCTGCCCAGCCCAGCCTCTCTGCTGCAGACAATTCCTGCACCCACACCCTTCCTCTGCCGAGAGGGTGGAACAAAGGTCATACTCCCTCCTCCAGCCTCAGACAATGGGACTAGGACAGACAACGGATGCACAGAGAGCCACTCAGGCCTCTGAACTGAGAGCCACTTGAAGACGGGGTTGGGTGTTTCAACTCATGGTCACATGAGAAAGGCTGTTTTCAGCCTTGTGCCGGCTGATATGGAACAGAAAGAGCCAGAACGGGGGGCACATGCAGAATGAGGCACAAAGACCATGAAACTCCATGAGAAAATGGGAGGGGGAAGGTGGCTACCTCCTCAGGTCTCCTTCTGCGAGCCCCACGGGCTCCGTTTCCCTGAGATAGCTTGTGTTGCTAGCTCACAACACACCCTGTGTCAGCCCTGCAGAGCTGACTTACAGGTGTTCTCTTTTTCCCTTTATGAACAAAGAACCTTCAGACAGCTGTTTATTAGTAAAATGCGAACACTGAACATCACTTACATGCCCAGCTACAATGGACTAGTTAATAAACAACGGTGGAGCAGTAGCCTTCATAATGAAAAGCGTGAAGAATAAATAGATAACGTGAATTTCTTTTGCGATAATCTGAAGTAAAAAGTGTAGAACATATGACTATGTAGAACTCTGGCGTTGGAAACAACCACGTGGTGGAGGGAAATAATGAGCCTGGTGTTTGCTGGGCACCTGCCGTGAGTCGGTGCTTGGCTCTGAAGCAGCTTTCAAGCCACCTGTGGGGTAGGCACTGTTAGATGGATTTTTAGAGGAGACTTGAAAAGGCGAAATGACTTCCTCAGGATGGGGCAGCTGTTGAAGCTGGAGTACGGATGTTATCAGAGGGAGGCAGAGCTTGGAGTCTTACTCATCTTGCAAACAAATGCTTTTGCAGGGACACCTGCCCTGGGGCCCAGACGAGCACTCGGGAGACCCTGCCAGCGCTATTTCAGACCTCATCGCCATCACCCTCAGCACACCACCGCGTCCACCGAATCCAAGCTCTCCCACGGCTGGCTGCTCTTACCACCTTCTCCGGTTGGCTTTTGCTCTGAAATCTTCCAAACCTGAGCAAGCACCTCAATGTCAGTTTTCATTAAGCAATTTCAGATAAAGGCAGTTTTCCTTAGACTTTTCTGAACTCAGAACATCTGACCCAAGAGGAAATGACTCACTGAGAGTTTTCAGGCTGCTCTGCTCCTGACCCTTTCTTTTCCACATCTTCAGCTCCACCCCCATCTAGCCCTTCTTCTGGAGAGGTCACTACCTTCTTTCTGCCACAGCGTCCCCCAGGCCAAGGTAGGGACTGAAGCTGGTCGGTTACCTGGCAAGCTCCTGGCCGGTGAAGGAGCCCTGCCCGGACTCAGCCAGTCCTCTGGTCTCCACGGCGATCCCCGGCTGCAGCGCTGACGATGTCTCCTCGCCTGGCGAGTGGGCTCTAGGAAATCAGATATGCAGCAAGCGGAATTGATTTCAAGCCCATCCGCCTCCTGGACACAGCCAGGAGTGAGACGGTCAGATGTTCTGCTTGACAGGGAAAGCCACCCTCAGAGATCCTCATCCCAGGGGCTCCCCACTTCCCTTTGCCTCCTGCAGATGGATTCTGGCTTTTGGTATAAACGTGGCCTTTCCTTTACAGCAAGGAAGGCAGCTACTGTCCAGGGCTAGGTAAAGGGATGGGGAGGTGGCAGTACATGATGGCCTGGCCCTCATCAAAGCACTGGGTGGGGAGAGGTCCCGGGGCTTTGCCATTTCAAGCCAAAGCAGCTGCTTCCATAAAATGACTCCAGAACGAGGATTTTGGTTCCAACGCTTCTCGCCTACTGAATTTCATCTTCTGAGGCCAGATTGAATACCTGCTCCTTAGGGGTCTTCCTGAGCCTCCCTTCCTACTGCGTGTGCTGCAGCCACACTGCCTGGGCAGTTGTTAGTGGGCTTGTCTGGCAGCCTTCCTGGGAAACCCACTGGTTAACACGAAGGCCCTGGAATATTGCGCAGAACTGGCCTAGCCCTCCACATCCAGTTCAAATAATTTGTACAGTGCTTTCAAATGGGACTCCACTTCCCCTAGTCCCTTTTGCCAAACAGTAGGCTCTCTCTCCTGCAAGGCAGAGGTAAGGTGTGGTGACCCCCTTGTGCAATCCATTGTGGAAAGTGTGATCCCAGAAAGGACAGGTGCGCGAAACTCAGTACGAGCACCAGTCACACCAGCGGAGTCTGGTTGAATTGCCTGGAAAAAGACTAGGAATGTGTCTGGGAATATTTGCCTTTCTTTTAAACCCCCTTGGGCTGAAGTTTGATCAGCCTGATTAAAAGGCAGCCAGGCATTAGCCTCTAGGGATTTGCACTTCAGTCTATGAATCTTGAGGAGCCCAGGCAACACAAATTAATTCTATCACGTGACCTGTTCCAACCTCATTAGCCGTCTTAACAAGGAGGCAAGAATTAACACCAGGGGAAAGCTTCGGTCTCTCCCTGGTGATTGATTAGAAGTCAGAGTCCTTGAATCCCGGTGGCTGGGCTGCTGCTTCTCCTACAGATTCCTCCCTGCCTTCTCCAGCAGCAGGGAGCTCACTCCCATGCCCCGGTCTGTCTGGGCCATCTCTTGACTGCCCCACCTGCCCACAGATTCTTCCCTCCCTCAGCCTCCCCACATTGAGGCTATGTTTTCTGCTGGAACCACAGGGAGTCAGGTAGCTTGATCTTCTACCTTCAATGACCAGAACCTGTGCGACTTGTGGGTTTGCAGGCCAGAACCCCCAGCTCACCCAGCCATTCCTCCTTGTGGTCAAGTCTCTTCCTTGTCATGGTCCTTCTCCCATGAGCAAGTTCCTGGGGTCTTGCTTGACTGGGCAGGGAGACTGAGGCCACCCTGCTGTGACTGGAACCCACTCTGGGAAGCCTTTGTTGCTTTGTGTGTTTTGGGTGGTTTTTGATGGTCACCAGCTACCATCAGCGAAAACCCAAAGCAGTCCTGTAACACGGGCTGCTGCCAGCCAGAGGACCCCGGCTTGTGCATGTGCAACTGATTTTTTTGGAATTAAGTATTGGACGTTCCCATTGATCCGAGTCTCTCGATGTTTTGGAAGCCTTAGTATGCAGAGAACACACTCACCTTTCCTTCCAACACCATTCTACTCACAAACACAGTACACAAACTACATGCCATTGAGTGGCTCTTTACTGTATGCCAGCCACATACATTTTACCATCTCATCCACACAACAACCCTGTGAGAGAGGAAATGGAAATTCAGAAAGGTTAGGCAACTTCACTGAGGTCCCACAGCCAGGTGGTACAGCCGAGATTCCAATGTTATTCCATCCCATTTCAAAACCTGCTGTCATCCACGCCATGAAGCTGCCCTATATTTTCATATATGGCACAGATGAAAATGAAATTAAAAGCATGGCTGAGGACTGAGCCCTGTGGCGTGCCACTAGAGACATCGCTCTAATCCATACAGCTGCCCCATAGGCATGGTTCTTTATTTTCAAACCATCTGATTGAATTCTCCCCTTCTACGCATAAGAAACCCGCTCTCGTCTCATTTGCGTACACGTGAAAGACCCTGTCAGAGGCCCTGCTGCAGTCCGGAAGCTACGATTCCCTTGCCCTCTTCATATTCTGTATATAATAAAGGTGGGATGCATGTTCCAATACACCTAGGTTGGTTGCAGGAGGAGGTGGCAGAGGTCCTTGGATCCGAGCAGATGGCATGGGGGTGGTGGTGTGGCAGCAGACAGCTGGGCGGAGGCCCTGTCACAGCCTGTGTGCCTGGAAGATCTGGAGGCAATCCCAAGGATGGAGGTGTTCTGCTGCCACCAGCAGCTCCTCAGGGAGCTCTCGGCACCAAGCAGTCGGCCCAGCGTTTTAGCGTAGTCTGGTTCCTGCTAATTGCATGAGGGCACATCCTGAGACCAGATTTATTTGCATTTGCGGCAAAGGAATTAGATGACATCAGAGCTGGTGGGTGGGTGAGGAGGGCAAACCCCATCCAGGATTGCAAAGCAGACCTGCAACCAGCAGCAGTGAGAGCTGTTGCATGTGGACGGGATCTGTGATACCCACTCAGGGGGAGGAGGCAGAGTGGAAAGGTGTCAGGTCCTGGTTGGAGTCTCTGCTCCAGCACCTGCAGGCTGAGTATTCTGTTGACTGGTCACTGACTCTCTCTGGGCTTAAGTTTCCTGATCTTCACAAAGCAAATAAAGCGAAAGTTGGCAATTTCATGTGGATTTCAGTGACCAGAAAGGCACAACTGTCCGTGAAGAACAGGGAGAGCCTTACATGATGCAAGTTCAAGTTCCAGGGGCCTGATGGGGGTGCCCGTTTCTTCCCTATGCCTTGCCCCACTTTCTTTTTTTTTTTTTTTTTTTGAGACGTTGAGATAGAGTCTCGCTCTGTCACCCAGGCTGGAGTGCAGTGACCAGATCTCAGCTCACTGCAAGCTCCTCCTCCCGGGTTTACGCCATTCTCCTGCCTCAACCTCCTGAGTAGCTGGGACTACAGGCGCCCGCCACCTCGCCCGGTTAGTTTTTTGTATTTTTTAGTAGAGATGGGGTTTCACCATGTTAGCCAGGATGGTCTCCATCTCCTGACCTCGTGATCCGCCCGTCTCGGCCTCCCAAAGTGCTGGGATTACAGGCTTGACCGCCGCGCCCGGCCGCTCCACTTCCTTCTCAATGCCTGAAATTCTGTTAGATCAATGTCTTTCTTTTAGCTCCAGAGCTCTACCTATGTTAAATGCCTGGGGGTGTTTACATAGTAAACCTCATTAATTACTTCTCCCAGAAACTGATTTTACCAGGCAGATGGAGGGGAGGTGGGAAGAGAGGAGAGGAACTGATGTCTGTGATGACATTTGGAGTCCCCAAGGACACACAGGTACCAAAAAAAGGGATATACTTTGGCAACTAATGCAAGAATGGTAACTAGAGTCTCCCTGGGAAATGAGAGTCTTGGGGCCAGGCTCTGTCCTGCCTGTGGCTGGTGGAAGGGCCTGGGGCAGTGGCTTGACAGGACCTCAGTCTCTGTACAATGAACAGACCAGGCCAGGACAACCCTGGAGCTTCCCTCCCACGTGTGGGCGGCTATTCTAAGATCCCACGTGGGGACGATGCCTTCCCAGGAAGAGGCCCCCCTGACGTTGGTAGTTGTCAAGAACAAGAACAACTAGTAGAATGGAGAGAGCGGCTTTGAAAGACAACATAATTTTCACCTTGTAATGCCCAAGTTCTACGTTTATTTGCACAGAGGAATTAATGTTGGTAAGGTGAAGGTTTCTTGTCACTGGGCGAGGACAGGGGCTCCCACGAGAACTGGAACTGGAAATTAACTTTGCACTTGGTGAAGCATCTGATGTTTTCCAGCAAGATGGGTTTGGGGACGTGAGAGTAAACAGAGGTGGCCTTTCAGCACAAGGATGGGGAATATGACACTTGAGTTTCCCCCTTCTCAAGCCCTGAGGAACTTGAATGATTGTAATCCTCTGCTGCTGGCCGCATGTGGTGGGGGACTGAAGTCAATGCAGTTTTAAGTCTTCGGTCCTGGAGAAGCGGGATGAAAATTGTTTTCTTCAGTAGTAATTGCTCTGGGCTCCACTCAGGGAGTAACACAAGAAGACCACTCTTCTGTCAGACACAAACCCCTGTGCCCCAAAGCTCATTCAAAACAGCTACACCAGGAGATGGATCCAGGATTTAAGGTGCCCTCAGTCCTAGCTGCAGTTCTTCGTAGCAGAGAATAGCCTGCTTCTATTGCCTTATCCTCACAGATATGCCAGACAGCTCTTAAATCATTGAGCCAACTAAGAAGAGCTAAGTAGAAAAGAAAAACTCAAACTTATTTTTGGTGTTTTCAGGGTGTAAAATGTTTTCATTCAAATGAAGTGTTTTCATGCTTCCTTATGACGTTCCACTATAAAAATAATTCCAGTAACTTAAAAACTGGGCCTCCAATTTGGTGAGAAGACTTTGGGGCAGGGAAGTCTCAAGGGACAGAGACTTGGCTGTGCCTTCCTCTTGGGGGCAGTCAGCGAGGGGCCACACCCACGCGCAGGTTCCCAGTGCAGCCTTCTTGGCATCACTGAAGATAAAGAGTGATTAACATTCGTGTACCCCAATTCTCAATCATTTATCTCAACAGTTTTCCAAAAGGACTGGAATTTCAAGACAAAGAGGTGTGGCTTGTCCAAACACCGTTTCTCTTGGTTCCAAAATAGTGATTTGAAACTTAAAACTTTTTACGTGGTAGGTGCCGGAGTCCTTTGTTCAAATCAGGTGGATAGACAGGTGCGGGGCTGGGCTGGGAAGCCGGGGAGGGGCTGGGCCCAGCCTCCATCCCTGAGGCCACTGTACCCCATCCTGAGCACACATTGTCATTCCTTTGTGATTCCAAGGAACGTTCTGAAAATTGCTGGCTGGTTAAAGCCACTCTTGCCTCTGTAAGATAAATCATAGCTCTCTCATAAAGGAAGCGCTCTTTCTGTCTCTCATTTTGAAATCTCGGTGGTGTTTCCATGGGATACTGTGTTAATCTGTCAATTTACCATGCGAAGGGTAGGGCTGAGGCCTGAGTGGAGCTCAGTAAGCCTCAGCTGGCGGTCAGGCTGAGACAGCAGGGCTTGGACACAGGCAGGAAATGGGGCTATCTGAGGTCAAGGAGAAGAGACCAGAGAAGGCCCAGAGGAAGAAGTAATCATTTCCAAGACCGGGAGGGAGAGTCAATGGGCACTCAACTACACAGCAGGGGCCGTGCTGGGACCTCTGCATTCACCTCTGCTGTAACCTCCCCACAGCCCTAGGAGGCAACACTAGTACCGATTCATATTGCAGATGAGAAAACTGAGGCTTGGAGCCGTTGAGCAACTTTTCGTAGCAGGTCAGTTGCAGAGCCAGTGTTCAAACCCGGGCAGTCTGACCCAAAACCTGTGCTGTTAAACCATCATTCTGGTCACAGAAAGTGCAAAGGAAGGAGAAGGGAGGACCTTTTCTCCCCCATGCAGACGACAAATAGCATTGTCGAAGGGCATCAGTTCAGAGCCGCTGACCATGTGGCTGATCCCTAGAGCATGCTGTGACCCTTGTCAACGTGCATTCCAGAGTGAGCCTGCAGGGAGTCTGCTAGAAGCCAGAGGCCGGTGACTGGTATTAGCGTGGCTTAACAAGCTAGCAATTCATTTAGCAAATGGTCATCTTCTAAGAGGCCTTGAAAGCCCTCTTGAACAGGCCACAGGTCAAGCTGGGCGTGGAGGTCACTGGCCAAAGCAGAGCCAGGGTGAGTCAGCAGGACCGCAGTGCTGTCAAGTCAAGCAGACATTGTGGGCAGGAGCTGCAGCAGCCTACAGACCAGGCCTGCCTTCTCCTGGGTGCCTACTCCAGTGAATATCTCACTGGAAGGAGCCGGACTGAGATCCCATTACTGCCTTCTCTGCCTTAGGGAAGCTGGAAGCTCCATGAGATGCTTAGGTCATGCCCCACTCCAGGCAAGTGGGGTGCAAAGAGGAAAAGTTCCATTCTGCTTCAAAATCTTCCTGATCCTGACAGCTTCTGGTCCTTCTCCCAAGGTCTTGGGCCCAGGATTCTGTGCCCCATCGTTGGGCTCCTTCTGCCTGATGCCCTCTTTTGATACTCTCTTTGAAGCCCTCTTCAAGGGGCTCTATTAGCTCACACATGGGAAATAAACTATTAAAACATACAAATACTTCAAGAGTGAATACAGTCCTAATAGCGTTCTTTGTTCTTTGAAATAAGGAGCAATGCCTTAATTTAGAGGACTAAGTCTCCAGTGGTGGGACACAGACATTGACAAAGGGCTAGTTAGGATAAAGGTATTTGAGTAGGATGGAATTTTCTGATGCTTCTGAAGCTATATCACACTTCCTAGGACCCCAGCACAGAGTTAAATGATTGGAGGAGATAAGTATCTGTTGGGATGCCCTGGGATCTTCCTTCCTTTGCCGAAATCTCAGAAGGTGGGGTTCAAGGGCTGTGTGGGTTTGCGTAATGGGGACTCAATCTCTTTGAAAATTATTGACCATCACTTATTAGCAGAGTTTGCTGCAGAGCTGGGATCAAGAACATAGATAGAGAAAAAACCAGATGTGCATTTGGGAGAGGAAGTGATGAACACGAATGGAAGAAATGAGGCACGACAGCCCAGTGCTGGGAGGTGGGGACTGAGGGATGTTACTGCATTTTAGGGCCGTCAGACTGTGTATTTAAGCTGCATAATTTTCAATTCTATATATGTAGGGTGAAAGTAACAGAAATATTGGAAAGAAAGTTACTCATGGTTCAACTCAGTCATCTCATTGAGAATTTAAGAAACATGGCCGGGTGCAGTGGCTCACACCTGTAATCCCAGCACTTTGGGAGGCTGGGGCAGGTGGATCACCTGAGGTCAGGAGTTCGAGACCAGCCTGGCCAACATGGCGAAACCCCATCTCTACTAAAAATACAAAAATTAGCAGGGTGTGGTGGCAGGTGCCTGTCATCTCAGCTACTAGGGAGGCTGAGGCAGGAGAATCACTTGAACCCAGTGAGCTGAGATTGCACTACTGCACTGCAGTCTGGGTGACAGGGTGGGACTCTGTCTCAAAAAACAAAAACGAGAAAACTAAAAACAAAGAAACATAAGGGTTTAGGTCCATGCACACTAAATAGGTCCCTTCTGATGTCCTCACTGTTATACCAGGACCTTGGAAAAAATGCTGTTCCATTCTGCAGGTGAAGAAATTGAGGCATGAAGAGGTTAAGTGCATTTTTCCAGGTCTGCTAGGAAGTTAGGAACAGGGCTCGAAGTAGAGCTCAAGGCCCCAGATTTCCATTTCCTACCTGTGTCAGGATGTCATTGGTGGGGCTGATGGCTTGGCTGACAAGGCACTACCCACTCCCTATACAGGCCCTGGGCATGGCCTGCCTCCAGACGCTCCCCTGGAAGTGAGGGCAGGACATTGGATTCATGCTACATCCTTGGTGCCTAGCTCAGGCTGCAAACCCAGTTCAGTGGCTGGTGCACAGCAAGAGTCCAACACATTTTTGATGAATACATGGGAGAGTGTGTCAGTTTGAGGAAGTTCTTACAGTAAAATTTAGTCTGCTGCATTTGAATCTTCATTTTCTGATAGCAATTAAGTGACTAAACCTGCTTTTCCACATCTCTAAAACAATAATACAGACTAGTTTCTGGGGGTTGTGAGGATTAAGTGAGATGAAAAATGAAATTGGCAGTGCTGTGAATACCTCCCCTGCCCTCCGATCTGTGGTTGGCCAACGTGAAGGCGTTCTTCCCCCATAGTCTAGATCCACTGTGGAAACGACCACAGCCAGGCATAAAACGAAAAGCCCACCTTACCTACTGAGGCCATTTTCAGCACGATCGAGATCTCGGTCTGAGGGCTTTACCCTGAGGTGGGTCCTGGAGGAGTGGGAGTATTGGGTGTTGATCTTGGCCATCTTCTTGGTTTGTCACATTTAGCCCCCCAGATGATTGCTGAAATGTGAACACAAAGCAGATACGTCATCAGGACGGGAAAGTAACTGCAAACCCAGCTCATCACGGACAAGGGCTACCGCACGCGGCCCCCCTGCAAGCCCTGGCAGGCACGCCCTCCGCTGTCTCTTGTAGATCCTGCAGCAGTGAGTTTTAGTTGGACATCTTCGGGCTCTTCTTTCTAGCCTGAGGCACAAAGTCTTTTACTTATTTGTTTCTGTTACCATGCTGACGAGCTGCTCAGAGTTAAGTGCTGAACGAGCGAATGAATAAATAAATGACTGGCCAAGTGGGAATGTGATATAAGGAAGGTAAAGCCCTTATGATTCTCTGAGATAATGCAATGTCCCTCTTGACCCTTCTTTTCTTGTTTCCTTATTTTTATCTTAGAATTTAGCAGGTGTTTCCACTGCTCCCTCAAATCTTGCTTTAAGACAACACGTAAAGAAAGGACCATATGTGACGTTCAGAAAACCTTTATAATATGCTAAATCCAATATCACTTCATCTCATTAATCCTCACAATAACTTTGTGAGGTACTCATTATTTTTATTCCCATTTAATGATGAATAAACTGAGCCTCAGAGGTGTTAAGTAGCTTGTCTAATGAAAGATAGATCCCACCTGTCAATGTGGTACAATCCTTGAGAAATCGCCGTGAAAAATTGTAACTAAGGAAATTATGGCAGTGAAAGACATCAGATCTAACCAACTCCGTCTTGCTTCTAACCTCTAAACTGTCCTTATTCATTCCTGGGTGTAGGCCGAACTAACCTTGGGAAGGAATTTAATTTATAATTTAAATTAAAGCCCTTTCCCAAAGCTAAACTGTTTTTGTAAAACACATGAAAGCCCACCAGCCACAAAGTTAGAATGAGAGGGGCTGGAATTCTAAATATTATCAGCCATTATTCCAGAGGTCGTAAGATTCGCAACTTCCCCAGTTACTGTTAAAGGCAACATCTCTATTGTGAACCTAAGATCGGCCTTTTGAGATATTTTTTCAGGTTTTCACGTTTCTAACAACGGGGTGGCCACACCTTGACCTACCAACCAGTTCTGTGGCCCCCACCCAGTAACTGACTCAGCAGAACAGAACAGCGTCAACTCCCTGTGATTTCATCCCTGAGCCAGCCAATCAGCACTTCCGATTCACTGGCCCCCCACCCACCAAATTATCCTTAAAAACCCTGATCCTTGAGTTTTGGGGGAGGCTGATTTGAGTAATAATAAAACTCTGGTCTCCTGCACAGACAGCTCTGTGTCAAATACTTTTTCTCTATTGCAATTCCCCTGTCTTGGTAAGTTGGCTCTGTCTAGGCAGTGGGGAAGGTGAACTCCTTGGGCAGTTACACCTGTGCCAGAAATCAGGCCGTGAACATTTTCTCTTTGGCAAACATTGGAAGGTGCCTCTGGACTGAAAAGAAAGCCTACGTGGGAGCAGGGCTGGTGTGATTGGCCAGGTCCATGATTTCTGGACAAGTCTTTCTGGAAGATGCATTTCTGAGGATGGTTTCTCTAAAACAGATTGGCACAGGTTCTCTTGAGCAGCCACGTGGTTTAAGTGTGTCAGATGTCAGTAGAGACCACTCCGGAGAAGGATGGCAATTTCTAGAAATAGCCCAGGGACTTACTCCAGGACTCAATTAATTCCATATCCAAAGGAAGGTCGGAGACAGGAGCCATGGGTGTGGCCATGCACATCTGGCCAACCCTCTGCCAGTTACGAAAGGGCAGCCATAGGCTCAGCAGGGTCCCGACTTGTCTCTGATGTTTGAAAGTTTAAGTCTATGAGTTTAAATTTTCTAGTTTTCCCAATAGATCAAACGTTGTTTTGATTTTTAAACACTTTATTCATTTTTGCAACAAGGAGTGAGTTTCTGGCTGATCACAGGAGCTATAAAGAGAAATTGAATGAAGCCTTTTCTCAAGGATCTGACAGTGTGGTGGGGCAGGTGCTACAACAGGCTTTGCAGGTTGTGCCCAGGAGCTTGGGCCTTACCCTACCAAGCCCACTAGGAATGTGGTCAGGTGTGTACAGGCCACTCTGGCTAGACCAGGGAGGATGTATTCAGGGAACATGAGTGGCTGTGAGGTGAGCAGCTAAAAAGTTGTCACAGTTTCTTAGGGGAGTGAGAACAGCTGCCTGAACTAGCTTTGTGGTGGTGAGAGCAAGTGGGTAGAATTGCCAGGACATGTCAATTTAGGTATAAGGGGTGGGGAGGAAGAGGTGCTGAACACAGTGTCCAAACAGCTGGTTTGATGGGGGGTGCTGCCTGCCCACTGAGGCAGGGAAATAGGAGAGAAGCAGGTTAGAGAAAGAGAATGATTCCAGTTTGAGTTGCCTGCAAAACTTTAGGACCAACATATGAAATTGTATTCTTCCATTAAAAGCAATAAATCTGGGGAGGGACCAAGGTGGCCGACCAGAAACAGCCGAGGTCAGAGGTTCTCACCAAGGAGAATGAAAATGGTGAGTGAATCCTGCACTAGCAACTGAGGTGTCCAGGTTCTCTCAGTGGGACTGACTGGGCAGGCCCACGGAGAGTGAGAAAAGCAGGGTGGAGCGCCTGCCCACCCAGGAGGGGCACAGGGCAAGCGGACCTCTGACTCTTGGCCAAAAGAAGCGGTGAGTGATTGTGCTGCCCTAACCGGGAAACCTCGCTTTCTCCATGGATCTGTGCTATCCGCAGATCAGGCGATTCCCTCGTGAGCCCCACACCACCAGGGCCTTGGGTCCCAAGCACAGAGCTGTGCAGATTCTTGGCGGCCGCTACACTAGAGACAGCCTAAGATTACTGAGCCCCTCCGGGGAAGGGTGGCCACCATCACTGGAGCTCCAGTCTGCCATTTTCCCCTGCTGGTGTCGTGGAGACTGGGCAGTTTGGACCCGTGAGGAATTCCCCACAGCACACCACAGTGGCTGTGGCAGACTGTGGCCAGACTGCCTCTTTAGGCTAAACCAAGACCCATCCCACCTCACCAGGCAGGGCCTCCCCACTGGAATTTCAGCAACTCCAGCCAGGGGCTGGATGTCCCTGGGTTGGAAGCCCCTCGGGAGGAAGGGCAGCTGCGGTATCCACAGAATAGTGGACTTAGTCTCTCCCCTGGCTGGCTCTGAGGAATCAGGGCTGTCTGGATGAGTGGGATCTCCCGCAAGTGCAGTGCACGCCCTCTGCTAAGAGTCAGCCAGAGTACTTTGTTAAGTGGGTCCCTGATCCTGTGCTTCCTGACTGGGTGAGACCCCTCAACAGGGCTCAGCAGAAACCTTATATGGTCACATTCTTGCTGGCATCAGGTCAGTGCCCCTTTGAGAGGGAGCTCCCAGATGGAGGAGCGGGCAGCCGTCTTTGCTGTTCTGCAGCCTCCACTGGTAACACCTCCAGGGGCAGGAGGGACCCAGGTGAATAGGGTCTGGATTGGACCCCCAGGAAACTGCAGCAGCCCTACAGAAGAGGGGCCTAACTGTTAAAAGAAAAATAAACAAAGCAACAACAGCAACAGCATCAACTAAAAAGTCCCCACAAAAATCCCATCCAAATGTCAGCAGCCTCAAAGACCAAAACAAGATAAACCCATGAAGATGAGAAAGGATCAGCCAAAAAATGCTGAAAACTCAAAAAACCAGAGTGCCTCTTCTCCTCCAAATGATCACAACATGTCAACAGCAAGGGCACAGAACCGGGCTGAGGCTGAGATGGATGAACTGACAGAAGGAGGCTTCAGAAAGTGGGTAATAACAAACTTCGCTGAGCTAAAGGAGCACGTTTTAACCTGATGCAAAGAAGCTAAGAACCATGATAAAACATTACAGGAGCTCTTAACCAGAATAACCAGTTGAGAGAGGAACATAAATGACCTGATGCTGCTGAAAAACACAATACGAGAACTTCACAAGTATCAATAGCCAAATAGACCAAGCAGAGGAAAGAATTTCAGAGCTTGAAGACTATCTTGCTGAAATAAGACAGGCGGACAAGATGAGAGGAAATAAAAGGGAAAAAGAATAAACAAAACCTCTGAGAACTATAGGATTATGTAAAAAGACTGAACCTATGACTGATTGGGGTACCTGAAAGAGATGGGTAGAATGGAACCAAGTCAGAAAACACCTTTCAGGATATCATCCAGGAGAACCTCCCCAACCTAACAAGACAGGCCAACATTCAAATTCAGGAACTCCAGAGAACTCCAATAAGGAGCTCCATGAGAAGATCAACCCCAAGATACATAATCATCAGATTCTCCAAGATAGAAATGAAGGAAAAAATGTTAAGGGCAGGGATTACAGGCATGCGCCACCACGCCGAGCTAATTTTTGTATTTTTAGTAGAGACAGGGTTTCACCATGTTGGCCAGACTGGTCTCGAACTCCTAACTTCAAGTGATCTGCCTGCCTTAGCCTCCCAAAGTGTTGGGATTATAGGAGTGAGCCACCAGACCTCAGTAGGCTGAGGCAGGACAGTCACTTGAACCTGGGAGGTGGAGATTGCAGTAAGCTGAGATTGCACCACTGCACTCCAGCCTACGTGACAGAGCAGGACTCTGTCTAAAAAAAAAAAAAATGTTAAGGGCAGCCAGAGAGACAGGCCAGGTCACCTACAAAGGAAAGCCCATCAGACTAACAGTGTACCTCTCAGCAGAAACCCTACAAGCCAGAAGAGATTGGGGCCAATATTCAATACTCTTAAAGAAAAGAATTTGCAACCCAGAATTTCCTATCTGGCCAAACTAAACTTCATAAGCAAAGGAGAAATAAAATCCTTTTCAGACAAGTAAATGCTGAGGGGATTCATCAGCACCAGGCCTTGCAGGAACTCCTGAAGGAAACACTAACTATGGAAAGGAAAAACTGTTATTAGCCACTACAAAAATACACTGAAATACAAAGACCAACGACATTAGGAAGCAACTACCTCAATAAGCCTGCAAAATAACCAGCTGACATCATGATGACAGGATCAAATTCATACATAACTATATTAACCTTAAATGTAAA